AGTATAATCTCTTGTAAGAGCTTGTTCCTGATATGCTCTCTGGATTAGGAGAAATCTACCCACTGGGAGCTGGATCCTGGTCTTGGGTCCAGGGTGGGTGCAGGACAGCGAGACCCTTGGTGCAGCTGCATCGCTGGAAATGGGGTCTGCAGTGCTTATGGTGTCTGGTGGAGTGCTTGCAGTCCTCAGCAAGCACTAGGAGCATCGATTGGCGGAGGTACTCGGTCGGAGTGCCAGCGGTCCGTCACATGCACTTAAAAGCATACTCCAGACACCAATGCAACTTTAAAAGACTTTGCCCCATTAATGTGCTGTAATTTTTTCATGCTCAAAACTTTATAGTTTTTGCACAAAAAATACAAATGTTTTGCAGAATGCTGCACCATAAGCCTGCCTCCTTAGTCACACCCCCACGTGCCAGAAATACCTCTGTATCAAATGTATGCACACAGTTCAGCCCTAACAGCACTGATTGAGCTGCCTTTAATTGACAACCTGGCTGCAGACAGTCAGAGAATCTATATACATTCAATGATAACCTAACTATATGTCTCCCTGGGTGTCTTGTCCTTCTAATGCAGGTTGTTTTGTAGTTTAGATTATTCAGTAGGGTCAGTGGCTGAATGTATGCGTACTTTTGATAAAGATTCTAGAATGAGGGGAATTAAGTAACTAGGTAGGCTTATGGTGCAGCATTCTGAGCATTCAAAAAAACAAACAAAAAACAGCATATTAATAAGGCCAATATCTATAAAATGCATTAAAGTTGTATTGGTGCCCATAGTGTCCCTTTAAGACAATTTGGATGCACATTCACAGATTTACCAGTAAATGCAATTTTTCGTCAAGACAAGGTACTAAATTGACCATCCATTCCTTGGTAGGGCTTTGAGAACCCCCTATAAGAAATATTACAAGCAAACTATCACGCACTCTGAATCAAGATATTGAACAGACTTTATTGAAGCAATGTTTTGGCTCAGCTAAAGAGCTTTTATCAAGAGTGATAGATAATATCTGGAATTCACCCCCTCCTACCTAGTTGCACCTGAACACTGTAATCGGAAGAATCTTATCTCACCTAATCCACTGTGCAAGAAATGAATGAAGCAGTGTCATTAACCGGAAATTAAGCAGACGGAATAAATTATATTCAATGAAATAGCTTTAAAAGAGGCACTACAGCTTAATGTAGACCTCAGACAGCCACTAGCAGTGCTAGCGATTATGCTTAGTATGATGTCAGATGTGAAAGGCTCCCCATAGAGATGTGTTGGGATAATGACATAATGCGGGATTAGCTGTGCAAGCTCTGTAGTGCACCAATGCTTCTCTACGGGAAGCCGTGGTTTGATTGAGATCATGAGATGACACGTCAAATGGGACATGGGGGTAAAAGGGACTATTGGGAAGGTTCACAAGCAAAATTTAGGGTGTAGAACCCAGAATAAAAAATGTATCTGAGATGGAATTGTTTTCATATTTGCTATTTTGGTTTAAGTTTTGCAAGTCAGTTTTATATCAAGAATAGACTTCTATATATGGAAGAAACAAACAAGTTAATAATGACTCTTCAAACAAAAATATAATAGTCTATAACATGAAATCTTCTACACTCAGCAATTCAGTAGCAAATAAGGAAACAAAGTAATCAAAATAGTCAAATATGTCAGACTCCAACCATGCAAAGTGATTACAATATTATACACTGAATGCATGAACAATGTAAGTGCTCTCTTATGATAAGTTGCTGTATGTAATTTACTTTGTGGGACTTTGTTTCGACCTCGATGAAGAGAGACAGAACACAGGAAAGCAAAGTACAAAAGCAACACAATTTGTTTACAACAATGCATGGATACTCAGAAAAAAGTGATAATTTCCCAGTTTATCAACAATATACTACAAAAAGCCATTTGTATACTTCTCTAACCCTAAGTCTCGTTTTATCCTAATTTTCATAACTCTAAATTGCCCTAAGAATATCCCAAGCTTAAAAGGTATCCCAACCTTAAATTTCCCTAATCATAACAATAACATTAACCTTGGGGCATCCTTTTTAATACCATATCTTCTTATGGTTTAAGTTTAATGATGCAGTAGTCATATAATAGAATTGTCATTATAACATCACTCCTTTTATCAGAGACATTTTAAGCAAATATTTTAAAGACATTTTAAATGTATGTGTTGTTGCTTAGGAAATATATACTAGAGATATAATCAGTGCAGCCTCAAGATAACACTGCTAATCCTGCAATTTAATTTGACACAAAAAATAGGTTTTTGTTTTTGCAAAAATATATACTTGAAAGATCCATACAGCATTGGTGCCTTCACATTTTGACCTTTCAGGGGTTGTCATCATGAATGTAATGTAAATTTCAAAATTTAGGTAAATGATTGGATGAGAAAAACTTTCCATGTCAATTCGGTTTCGTTTGGCTACTGTGCCTTAAATTTGAAATTCACTTTGAATTTACTTTGAATTCTCATTTCAGTGAAAAATTACTGTTAGCGGAGCTAAAGTATGCACTGCAGCTTTAATTAATATTTAGTAGGCCTGTTCTCTGCTTTTTTGTAATCTATTTCTTAGGCTGGAGATAAGGAAGTTGATATCCCGATTGGTTTAGTATTTTTGCTTTTCATTTATATTTCTGGTGTGTGTCCCTAATCTCTAAGAGAGTGTTTGTCACTTTGTTTTTTTCTTTATTAAAGACTTTTGACATTAAAGTGACAGATCTTAATACCACTTTTCCTGAAGTGCCCTCATCCATTCTTTGTTCTATTACTTACTTTTCTTGTAATGTATGCTTACTAAGGACATATCTGTATGTATTGTTTGGGGCACTAATATATAAGCACACCGATGCACAGTTTGAACTCAATAGAATGTTGGGAATGCAGACTCCTGTGACAATCAAGTTATTTTGTGCTTATGGTATGTTTTAGAATTTAATTTCTGAAAACAGAAAAAGTTGTTTTAATTGTTGTATAGTTTTCATAGACACACACCTCATATTGGTTTTGGTTTTACAGATTTTAATAAAGTATAGTATAGTATAATACAGTAAGTATACCTCCAGGACTCATTTTGCTGTAAATCACACAGTCTAGTTATTACACATTACAACATATTATTGCAGACACAGGATAACAAATAAACAAATTGAATCACTTCTCAGGTGGAGTACATCAGAAAGTACCCAGACAGATAGTAGGGTACAAGATTACTTACACATACGTCATATATCTGGTCGTATCTTTTGCTGATGAGGTCTTCGATTTAAAGTAGAACTGTCACCTCAAAACGATTTTTAATATGATGACCATTTCAGCAACTATTGAAAGGAATAGATTTATTTTAAATTAAGTATACATAAAAAAAGAGAAAACTACTATTAGTTTGTGACAAGATCCTTTATTGGATCAGACAGTGTTTGACTTTGACAGTTAGTCGGTCTGATGATATCACTGCTCTGTGCAGGATGTGAAGTAGGGAAGACCGTAGAGACTAACTGTTTGTTTGTTTTCCTGTCATATACTATAGGTAGGGATGAGTTTTTACATATACTTTATTTAACAAAGAATCTATTTTCTCTCCAAACTTGAAAGACTCATTATAGAAAAAATCAGTGTTAAGATTACAGTACTCCTTTAAGCTTTGTCATGTACCATGTTGTTCATCTGCTCCGGTATACCAACGCCAATGATTAGAGATGCTTCTAATAAGCACAAAGAGATAGTTTACACACGTAATCTGGGCAACAATGGTGCATATCAGGTATTCTGGATGCCAAGTGGCAAATGTTGAGAGACATTCTGCTGGTTTTCATGGTGATTGTCCATTGTATAGCATGTTACCATGGAATAGCAAAAATCTTACATCAGAAGGGGATACATATACCTAAAAGAGTATCAGGCGAAATAACAGCAATTGAGGTTTCTTTCTAACCTCAGGGAGTGTTTTTTTTGTTTCATTTTGTTCACTGAATAAGATGCTACACACACCAACATTGAGCATGCCATCTGCATGCATTACTCCATATGAGAGATTAGTGCGTATGTTTGTTGTTTAGGAAAGCATACACATCCTCACTTATTGTCCTGTTGAAAGACAATGAAGAGAAGGAAGTGTCTCCCCTTAGTTCCTTGTTTCAACAGACTGGATACCTGAAGGTCAAAGAGTTATTACTACATATAAATATATGAATATAATTTTAATGAATTGCTTTAGTTAATAAAAACATGATAAGTCAGCAATGGGGTGCCCTTTCAAATATCATCCTCACTGATATTTTCATAGAAATGTGTAATACAGGCTCATACATTTACTTAACAAAGATGTATTTTCACAAACCATATATTATTTAAGACTATTTTTCTCTAAGGCATGTTCTCATTACTATTCAATTTATTCAAAATGTAAAGGGATTCAACTACATTGCTCAAGGCATATTTGTTTTGGCTTTTGTGGCACCCAAGCAAGAACTGAAATAAACAGGGCAACTAAAACGTCATGTAAAATGATGAATATGTTTTATTGATAAGGTTATATGGATGTAAGACAATCTCAGTCATTCGAGTTTTATATATATATATATATATATATATATATATATATATATATATATATATACACACACACACAATAAATTGGTGATCCCTAAATACAAAATATTACCGCTGGCAAAAACATTTGCTTTACTGTATTTTTCACAAAATAAAATAGGATTTATTTTCTCTTACTCCACTCTGTTTGGAAATATTTTTTAGCATTTTAAAAGTTTAGCAGATATTATCCCAAACAAAATGTGCATGTGGTAAGTATATATATATATATATATATATATATATATATATATATATATATATATATATATATACATAGTGTTCAAGTAGAGATTGTAGCTGTATTAGTCCAGTGATGTAGATGTAAAAAACAGATACAATTGGTATCTTGTAATACTTTTTTATTGTACTAACAGAATTTTTTAATGACAAGCTTTCGGGAGAACCTCCCTTTCTCAAGTCTGAAGCATTCTTGAGAAAGGGAGGTTCTCCCGAAAGCTTGTCATTAAAAAATTCTGTTAGTCCAATAAAAAAGGTATTACAAGATACAAATTTTATCTGTTTTTTACATCTATATATATATATATATATATATATATATATATATATATATTTGTGCTCGGAATTTAAATACGTGATGGATAGTATCTGTGAGCAAAGTTGGTTGTGGTGTGCCGAAACCAACGTACGAGTGGGCCTGTAAATAAAAGAGGGCCCACCAAGGATAATGTAGTTAAAACAGGGTGTAGGTGGGTGGGGACAATCAGCTGAGCGGCAGCGGTGAGTAGGGGCTGGGAGTTTAAGTAGGGGACTTACTCCTCCCACAAATTCAGGCCTAATGGCCTTTCTACTTGTGCTCGGAATTTAAATACGTAATGGATAGTATCTGTGAGCAAAGTTGGTTGTGGTGTGCCGAAACCAACGTACGAGTGGGCCTGTAAATAAAAGAGGGCAAAAAGATAAATTCGAGAAAATACACACTTTATTGCATTTTACAAGACCAAGTTCCTGAAAGCTTGGCGAAGCTCTTTCTCTGGTTGCGGAATATATGCGTTATATATGGAGGATTTCCATCGCCCCAGCCTTTTGATGATGTGGACCGGTGCGTTTGTGCTAGAGGATGCTGAGGCGGCTCCTATGCGGAAGGAGTGCCCGGAGAATGCAGCCAGGTTGCGTCCGAGCTTAGATAACAGGGTTCTGACATGTAACATATATTTTGCCGTGGTAAGTGGGTGCCCTTGTAATGTTAAGAGCGGAGAGTCTGGCAGGTGAGTGTGAAGAGTTGACCGTAGTTGGTCGAGAACTTTCACCGGACACCAGGCATTATCAGTAGGGAAGAGAGGAATTATTGTAGGGTGTATTGACTGGTTGGTTTTAGTGGTAGGGATAGAAAGGAGGTAGTGATCCTCTACCTTGGTGAGGTGTGAAGTTTTAAGGCATAGTGCGATATCTCCTTGACAAACCACGGTGAACTCTCTAGGTCTGAGAAAACCATAGAAAGTGAGATATATGGCAGATTTTATCACCGTATTGGTGTAGCTATCAAATGGGGCTGTGTCAAGGAGATTGCTAAGTGACCTGAAGATAGGCCCGTCTATGGGTAATCTAGTGCTTGCGAGTGGTGGTGAAACCTTTGATATACCTTTCAAGACCTTTTTAATGGGGTATGAAGACAAAAACGGAGTGCTGTTAGGAAAATTGGTGAGGCTGTGGTGCTGAACCCCGGTGAGGTAAAGTTTAATGGTGTTGTGTGACAGATTAAGGTGTAGGTGGCAGAAAGAGGCAAAAGACACCATGGTTTGGATAGAAAAGTCACCTTGTAGCCCGAATTCTGCAGTGAATTTGTTAAATATGTTAAGTGCCCTATTGTAAGTGATAGCAGTGTTGGGTGATAATGCTTGGTGAGTGAGTGATCTAGCGTGAAGCAAGAGTGTGCTTAATCCAATATTAGTTCGTGAAACCGTGGTGTCCTGGATGGCTGTTGGTGAGCCGCTGGGAGTGCCTGAGAAAATGCCTGGAATCGAGAACGAGAAAGAGCGTCAGCGGCGGTGTTGTGAATACCCGGGATGTGAGAACATACTAAGTGAAACTGATTGGATGCTGCCAGCCAGGTCAACTTGCGAATCAGCCGCATGATGGTCAGGGATGATGAGCGCCCTTTGTTAATGATATCGCAAGCTGCCGAGTTATCTGAGTAGCATTTTACTGCCTTGCCGGACCAGAGATGACCCCAGGTGTGTGCGGCCGCCACAATGGGGTAAATTTCAAATAGGGCTGAGGTCTCCCTGAATCCTGGCAAGGCATCCGTCTCAGTGGGCCAGTGGCCCCTAAACCAGTGGTTCCCGAAAATGGCTGCGAAACCGGTGTTGGCTGCTGCGTCTGTGTGGATGATGGGTGAAGAGGTGGAGAGAGGGGGGATAAACATGGAGATACCATTCCAGTCTTTCAAAAACTTCCCCCACATAGCTAAGTCAGCCTTGGCGTGGGGGTCCAAAGAAACTGTGCCGGAGTCTGGGACTCCGTGGAGCAGGCAAAGAAGTCTGGAAATGAAAGACCTTCCCTGCGGAATGATGCGCATGGCGAAGTTCAGAGATCCAAGAAGGGACTGAAGTTCTCTCCTGGTGCAAACGTCATTCCGCAGGAACGTGTCTATCTCCCCTCTCAATCGAGAAAGTTTGTTGTGGGGAAGGCTAGCTCTGAGTTTGACAGAATCGAGCTCTATGCCTAAAAAGGTCAACTTTGTTGTGGGTCCTATAGTTTTGGCTGGGGACAAAGGGAAAAGAGTGCGGTAGTACTATTGATTGCTGTGGGTGTTGATGACCCTGGCTCTATCAGTAGAAAGTCGTCTAGATAGTGAATAACGGAGTGACACCTGATGACGTTCAGAAGCAGCCAGCATAGTGACTCTGCGAAAATGTCGAAAAGTTTGGGGCTGCTTCGAGAACCGAAAGTGAGTCGTGTTGAGAAGTAATAATACCCTCGCCATTTAACACCGTGTAAGTGCCAGAGTGAGGGGTGTATGGGCAGTAATTTAAAGGCATTAGTGATGTCTGTTTTGCTGAGCCAGGGTCGATTACCAGATGTCATGATGGACTGTATGGCGTCGTCGATGGTGACGTACTGCAGTGAGAATTCGTCTGCTGGAATGAGTGCGTTTATGCTTGGAACAAAAGAGGAGTGCGGTGCCGATAAATCGATAATGAGACGTTTTTTATTAGAATATTTGTGAATAGCAATACCAATAGGGTTAGTGCGCCAGGAGGAAAACGGTGAAGAGGTGAAAGGACCGATCATGAAACCGTTTGTGGTTTCTGCGGAAATGAGAGTGTCTACAGCGACTGGGTCTAAACGTGCAGACTGGAGATTAGGACATTCTAGTGTACCTGGGGGAATGGCTACTATGCCTGTGTGAAACCCTTGTGAGAAACCTGTGGTGAGAAAATCCACCAAGTGCCTGCTGGGGTGAGACCTTAGATAAAAAACCAGGTTGTCGATATTTATGTCGGTTAGTCATTTATTTGGTGACAACCTGGCTGGACACATGGTCTTGGTATGTGCCCTGAAACATATGGAGCAGATGTGCAATAATCTACAGGCGCTGAAACTGCAGGAGCCTGCGTTGAAATTATTTCACACCTGTGTTTTACCTAAAAAGGAGATGGGCCTACCCAGCTTATCCCAGAGACCACCCGCTGGTTTGTTGTGAGGGGTGAAAGAGGAGTGAGGTGTGAACGTGGGGTGAGGGGTGGGAGTGGAGGTGGTGGGATCTGGTTCGACGGGACATAAGTCCGCCATGTGGGATGTAGAATTACAGATGGCACAAGCCGGGGGCCTGAGTCCAGCGAAGTGGCGACAGAAAAGTTCCGTGTCCATCTGACCCCAGTTCATTCTAATGTTGAACTGCTTGAGATGGGTCGCCGCCTTCGCCGAAACTGACTTGTGGTAGTCATAGAAGGAAGAGCCCCCGTACTTGATGCCTAAATCCACTACCTTGTGGAGATAGAGATCTAGCTCTTCTCTCCTATGGGGATACACCGTACAAATGACGTCGCGGTATATCCCAAAAGCTATCACAAACTGTGGGATTGACAATTTTTTATTGAGCCTGGGATCCCTCGTTTTGAGCACAACTGAAATGTCACCATAGTTGTATGCCTTGTTCTCGAGTATGTCCTGAGAGGCTATGAGTAAAGACACCAGACACACATCCTTCCCGTCTAGGATATCTTTCCTGATAGAGTCTGGGACGGAGTGTGCTGGTGACTCGAATGGTGTGATGGCTGTGCCAGGTGCTGGAGGGGGGAGTATAGCGGGGCAAGTAGGTATGGCAGGTGCAGCCGTGGTAGAGACTGGGACTACGGTGTTAGTACCTGAGGAGGAGATGGCGCTCTCCACCTTAGACAGCCTGCTATTGAGGGTCTGTAGATTGGCCAAGATATCTGCCAGGGTATCCTGGGTGGCCGTGCTGTTTCTTGGTGGTTGTCCTTGAGAGCTAGTTCCCGGCCTAGGCTCAGGGACTTGGTGGGTAAGCAGCCTGTAAAGTTCTGCCTTTCTAGCTGTGGCCGGAAAGGGGATTCCCCTGAGCCTAAGCTCGGCCGTGATTTTGGGAATAGTCCATGCTCTCAAGGACGTGGGGGTTGAAAGAGTGAGTGATTCGCCTGGAGACACGGGTCTGATTGGCGTGAATGGTGTTTCTTCTGTCAGTTCTTCGGTTGGAATTGGTTCTTGGGACATTCTAAAAAAGGAATGATTATGTGAAAGATATATTAGAAGGGGAGTGAGGTAAGTAGGGGGGGGTATGGGGAGTGGTGTATCTGAAAGAACTGGACTGTAATGCTAGATGCCGAGGCGAAAAACGTAACTATTGAATGACTGGATAGGTGAGGCCCTGCTAATGCCAAGTGGCGGTGAGAGGCTCTACCTATGATTTGGCTTATGACGTAGGTGCCACAGACGTGGTGGCGGGATGTTGGCCTCTCGGTGACGATAAGAGAAATCAAAACGTGTGGCCGTGACAGGTGAGGCCCTAACTAGAGCCCTGCAGTAGGGCATGCGAGGCTTAACTATGGTTTGGGCGTGGGGCCGTACCTCCGTGTTGAGGTGGGGTGGGGGTGATAGGCCTCGCGGGATCGGATTTCCTGATAGGGTGGGCTAAGGCATTAGCCTGTGCCCTATAGCCAGTTCGATTGTATGCTTAAGGGTAAAGTGAGAGGACTGGAGTGGTGTGTGGATACTAACCTTGACTGGTCGCAAATGGTATCTGGAGCCTCCTGATAAGTGTAGAGAGTCTTGTCTTAATGCTGTCTTTGAGGAAGAATCCTGGGAGTTTAAGACAGATGTTGGTGTGTTTATACGTATCGTGATGTCGTATGAATAGTATTGGGAGAAGGTTTGTTAGGGGCGCCACGTGAGATCCTGCATTGAGGGATCTGAGAGGTTTAGGTGTAGGAATGGGATGATTTTTTATATGAGTGAGAAGGCAGAATGAGGCCTTGGGGTAGC